AGAACGTCGATACTCGCTCCTTATGCTCTTATCTGGCCGGCGCTGCTGAAGCAGCCCGCCGGCGAAATTCTTTCTCCCCGTGGCCAGCCGAACCTATTTTAGAGAGAGGGAGTTTAGCTAGTAAACTAGGGTAGTGGGGTGGGCCTTGAGGCTCACTCAACTTACCCTTTATGCCAAATTATTATCTTGATTGACTAGAAAGCTACTTTTTCTACAATAAGCTTAAGCTTTATTAAAATAAATTTCCACAAGAATTCACGTTGCGCAACAAGGACGATGAACCTAGCTGGCTGTGTTCGCACGTGCAGAGTGCAACTGGCAGCCGGTAACCATGGCCGCCGCCTCCCCAACCGACCCTACGCCCCTCCTCAGGAAGAATTTCGCCGGCGGGCTGCTTCAGCACAGATGCATAGGGTTTTAAGTCTCGCGTGCGAGATCCTCCGGATTGCTGGGAGTTGACCTTAGATACAAAAGGCCTAGTGGACGGAAACGGCGCTTTGCCGGCTGGGCGAGATAACTTGTTTGACTGATATTTGTCTCAAAACGACCAAAGTCGCAAAAAGTAGATAATCATCTGAACAATTTTTTCTCGCCCAGATACGTGACGATTCCGTCGCCAAGGGCCAACAGGCATTTCGCCCAAGTATCAGAATCCTCAAAATCGCACCGAAATAGCCAAGCTTGGTTGGTACCCGAACTTGGCGGCGAAACTTAGAGGACGTTTGCTGGGCCGGTATCAGGAGCTTGGGGTGCGCCAAACGTCGGAGCGCAACAAACGTTGGGGGTTCCGTCCTGCCATCCAACAGTAGCCAAAATAGCCGGAAGAGACACCAAACCGAAGAATATGCCAAGGCCAACAATGATGAAGAAGGGTTGCACAAAGTTGTTGACAATGTAGGGCATCGGAGAGAAGCACAGCGGCACAATGCCGAGTAATGTCGTTATCGAACCATCTATGACAGGAGGTAGAAGTAACTTTAAGGTAGCGATGGTTTTCTCAACCCGACTCCCAGAATGAAGGAGGTAATGAGAAAAGAAATGCGAAACGAACTCAACAGACATTCCCACAGTAAGGATTGTGAGAACTGCAGTGAATATATTGAGAATTATGTTAACATATCCACAGACAGCGAGAAACATGATTACTACCATGGTTATTAGGACGCAGAGGAGGAGCGAAGACCAGGCGGCTCCAAGCACACGATTAAAAAATGCGACATTTGGATCAGGGGGCTGAATGGAAACGTAGATAAGAGAGACAATTGCAAAGATGCACAGCAAAGTGTATGATAGGCCCCGCACAAGAGTAGGCACGAGCCAACGGAACTGCGACCAAAAAGGCAGGACGCCTCCAGATGGGAACGCACGAATTTGAGTCGAGCGCTGTGCGTTATTCATATTGTCACGCAGCGAGTCGAGCATTTCCACCCAGTCGTATCCATCTTCAATATCTTCGGCCCACACAGGAGAGGCTCTGAAAAAGTCGATGTAGCCTTGGCCATCTGAACCGCGATAAATCTCTCGTGAGCCCCCCATGGCAAGTGCTGTACAGGCGATACGTTCAGTCCGATGATCTGGATCAACGCACGTGAAAGCAGGAGAGAAAAGCGTGTGAAGGGCATCAAAGTTTAGGAATTTATTGAGGCAGACATAAAAGTAATCTGGATGGAAGCCAAAAATGTACGGATTATTGAAGACATCATTAGGCAGATGGTCTTGAAAACATCGAGTTGAGGCGTTGTTGCATAGGAAGACAGAGATGGGCCATGACGTACACACGGGGATTCCAGCCTCAGCGAGCTTTGGCGAAGCACTATCACTCGAGTAGAGATTGGTTTTGATTCCAGCAAGAGCGTGCTCGACTGGCGAAAATGTGGATGGAGAGACAAATGGACCACAGTAGCCGGCCCCAAACGCGTCAGTTGGGTCGCAGCGGGGGTTGTAAAGGTCAGACGTGCCATAAAAATTGGAAGCATCGCAGGCTTCGATACCGGAAGATCCGCTGGTGACGTTCATTTCATGTGAAAACGAGCGCCAGTCACAGGGCAGTCCCCACTGGATAAACGCATGGTACCACATAGCTGTCCCTGGTGCAATGTGATCAGCATCCTCGGCTTGCTGCAGAGTCGAGTAGCGGGTCGGATCTACGACTGACGCAATTAGAGGATGTTTGTATGGATAGTCTGCCTCACCGTAGACAATGTCTATCGGTTCCTGGGAGAAACGCATGCGATTGTACATGAAATAAGAGCCTGGTGTACCCCAAGGAAAGAGGTCGACGATGGGAAATCCTATCGAGACACGTGGGAGGCCGGCGAGGCATCCAACCAGAATCAGGATCGCTGTGGCCATCAATATAAACATCTTCCCAGACGGGTGTGTCAAAAACCATGCGTAATTAGGAATAAGGACTTCATGGTAAAAGTTCTTTCGTGCTTGAGAGACGACGGCCACCGAACCACGTGCGGCAGCACCGATGACTGCAATTGAAGACCGTTTCTTAGTATGCTCGGGTTCCACATTGGGTTTCTTACTTCCAAAGGCTAGCAACGCTTCCATAGAAATATGCGTAGCTTTGTATTCTTGGCTTACTTTGGCATGAACACCCAAGAGCGCGATGAAGCCAAATACAATCGAAAAGTAAATTCCAAGAACTCCGACTGCCGCCTGGGCACAGAACTCAGCTACCATGCGAACCCGAATGGCGCGTGCAGTGAGAAACGCAACAAAATTTGCGGTTGTTGTGAGCGTGATAGAAGGGCCTGTGCGGCCCATCATATATCCAATCATTTCAGCATAGTTGTATTCCCCGTGCGCAAACTGTTTTTCGACATCGCAATAATTGTGAGCACAAAGGAACATGTCATTGACACCAAGGCCCACTAGCAGAAATGGAAGAATCTGCACGGAATAGACGTTAAATTTAATTCCCATGAAACACCCAATGCCCAAGCTTGCCATCATTCCAAGTACAACAATGCACACACCAAGCACACCCACCATGACATGAGTGATGGCCGAGGCTATACCGCCGGTGACCTCGAAGATCATCGAACTACCGGCATAGATGACGACAAGTGAGTAGCAAATAGCGATAAGCCAGATCTCTATCGATCCCGCCGCATCAAATTCATCAAAGATTGCTGTAGATGTCAACATCCCATGAAGGACAGAGCCAGAGTTGTACCGACCTTTGACCTTGCTGTATAATTTTGCGAGCCATTCACTCTTTCCATGCTTGCAATGGCTTTTTGGTTGTGTGATGCCCATCATCTCAAGGTCCTGGTCTATCTTTCGCCAACCCTTTGCCACATATACAACCTGAAACCCGTAGTTGGCCCTTCGATCATCAAACCAGTCACCCAGGGCGATTGTAAGATCAACGTAGGGCAATATTTTGAGGCCCTCGGGACCACCGTCCCAAAATGCGCAGGTCCCAGAGAGCCCCGTAGCCAGAATTTCATCCTCTGTGGCAATTCGAGTTGTCCAATCGAAGTTCGCGCTCGATTCGAAAGTTGTGGCGCACGAATTCATGCCAAAATAGTTGCAGATAATAGACTTGGCGGCAAACTCAGCGAGATCGTTGACTGTGGTTACATCGGCGAGTGATGCCGAAATGACAGAGTCTTCATCTTGATAATATGTGATTCGCTCGCTACACCCAGCAAGAGACGTGTTGGCTGGCAAGCCCGACAAGCTGGAGATAGCGCCTGCTAAAATAGACCCAACTGGGTAGAAACGAAAGTTATCGCACACTTTCAAAGCTGCATACTCGGAATCATAATGGGGATTCGCCGACCAGTCTGGCGCTCCAAACTGTGATAAATAAGCATCACACGTAGTTAGATCGAGACCCCCCGAGGCACAACCAGAGTAAACAGTCGCGATTTCGCAGCAGGTGAGATTTGTGTCGCACCGACCCGCAGGTTCATCGGCAAAGGGAACTTTACAACCCCATGTGAATGCAAGTGACGGTGACGACTTTGCGAGGTCGTAGAGATAAAAGCGGTGAAAGTCGTGAGCACGCTCAAGAACCGCCACCACTTGATCTGTCGAACTTACATCCGTATCGAGGAATTGGCGACAGCGTCCGAATGTGTTTGCATCAACAAAATCAAACGGTGTGTAGAGTGTGACTAGAGGAGCATAGAGACACCAGGTATAAGGATTGACGCTTGGCAAATAGCTGGCGTTCATGTCGGTAATGGCGAAGCTGTAAGTGGCCTCATATGAGAGATCGACTAAGCCTTGTATGCCCAACGTACCCAGGTCGCCGAAGAAGTCATAGGCACCTTCTTGCCAGCAGTCGAGAATGTTGAAACGAAACGGTTGGGGACCAGACAATGCAAGCACGTTGACCGCATTGAATTTGGTATTACGGTACTTAATTTCTATGCTACCAAGATCAAGATCTCTCCAGAAGTTGGCGGTTTGGAGCGCATTTTTGCGAGTCAATACGTTCTTACCACCACTTGTTGCTATTGCGTTCGCAACTTCCATGGTTGTTTCCCAACCTTCGCCAAAGCGCTCCTTAACGTAGTTTGACTCCTTGTTTAGACGAGTAGCCGGCCGAAGTACGAGAGACGTAAATAAAGCGTTGTCAACTTCGGCACGCATAAAAAGACCGAACGCAGCAACAAATGAAAGCAATAGTAACGAAACAAGCAAAATCAGAGGCGCGTATATTGCTATGATGTTTCCAAGAACAAAAAATCCATGCTCTACGACACCCTGTTCCTGACCCGCCATTGCCGCTGCCAAGGACTGTGGTCGGCTTCCGCGCTTAGCAAATGTGGTGGACGCCCGCTTGGTCGACGCCCGCTTCGCACTAAGACATTTTCCCTCGTCGTGGGTATTTTCTAGCCGTATCTCTGGCTCAGTACCAACCAGCATCTCTTCCTCCAAACCCTTTGGGGGCGCGACGACAACGCTATTGTTTGACAATGGAACCTCGTCAACGGTCGTTGAGGTACCCCACCCGTCTTCGGGGGGCTCGTTCATCGCGACGCACAAGCAATCCAGGTTGACTCTTGATTCTACACACACCATAAACTAGTAGAGAGCGACAAAACTGAGATAGGGCGTGTGTTCACGAGACTCGACTTCGTCGTCTGCGGGGCGTCCGGCGCTCGTGCCAGTGGCCTGGGGCGAGGGGAAGGTCGTGCTGGACGAGAAGGGCTCCCCCAAGGTCCTCTCAGAGTCCAACAAGCGCGTGCGGTTACAGTGGGTCATCCGGACTTAAATTCAACACAAGCAACAGAAGATTTTTTGGTTCAATGTCAGCATTTTGCGTTCAATGTCGGCATTTTGGCTAATATGCTGACATTGAACCCGAATGATATGTATCATTCCATATCTTTTTTACCATTCTATATCTTGTATCATTCTTGATATGGTGATACTGAAAAGTATCATTGGTGATACGGGGAAGTATCATGCTTATATAAAAGGGTATCATTAGTCTGATATAAATCGGTATCTAACTATCCGTTAGAAGACCAGACCCGAATAGGGTACTGGAAGAACCTAATGTGGCTACGCCACGCACCCGCAATTTCTACTATTTTGGGAAAAAAACGTGCTCGTCGCGCAGCGCGATATCAAAACCCTTCTCGCTTACCGTCATATGAAATCAAAATACGAATACTTGCCTTTTAGTGAATGGGGTATTGAATACTTTGACAATCAAAAGGAGGAAGCACTTTACAATAACAATCCCGTTTATAAATTTATTGACGAGTCTCCTATCTACATATGGTATCCTCCCCATATCCCCCGCCTTGTTTATCCCCCGCACGGGGGATAAACAAGGCGGGGGATATGGGGAGGATACCATATGATATCACCTTCAACTTGCCTTCACCTTGACTTCAACTAAATAAGATACTTAACATCATTGTGCTTTTTTGGGTCGATGTTGATGTGTGCTTCACCGTGCCGATTTGGGCTGATGTTGAACCTATATTGGGGCTACTCGGGGCTACTGGGGGCTGGGAATATAGGGGGCTATGTAAAATACGGGGAATTTGGGATGCTAATAAAAATAGCATTATCAGTATATCCAGTATCTAATTATATCCCGTAGATAATCCCCGCATATGGTAAATTAGCGTGTAATGTCTACGTATGCGTCCCAAACGCCAGATGATGATGATAATGATGACAACAGTCCTGCCTCTGACCAACCAGATGATATCAATCGGCTTGTGGCAGAGATTAATGACTTGGTCAAAGGTTTAGACGAACCGACGAGGGACACGATTTTCCTAAAAGGACGAAAGATTACCGAGGTCGCCGTGAATATATGGGCTAAGAACGAGAAAGAAAGGCAGGATTTACACGAGATTGTGGAGGACCAAAACAAGCGCATAGCGGAGTTAGGAAAAGCGAGTGTCGCCAAAGCGGATACAAAAGCGACCACCGCAAGTCCTACCGCCTCGCAGAGTTTAACTGTTAGTCCTAAAAAGCCCCAAAAAAAGGAGAAATTGTGTGACTGTAAAAATGCTAAGATTAAAGGGATGGAACATTCTCGGAGAAGTAGTAAGCATTGCCTTTATAATCCAAACAATGTCGCGGTCGCCAACAACACTGTAATTCCTGTGGTAAGTCCTGTGACAAGCACTGATGACAAGAAACCACTGACAGACGGAGGACAGGAGGAGAAAAAAGACGACGGCGACATTCCTTGGATTAAAGACGTTGACAAGGATTCCATCGCTTATTGGTATCGCTATGTAGACGGCAAATACGAGGAGACCTACACAGACCCTGACGAAAGTAAACCAGACGTGGAGGAAAGCGACGATGAGACTGTGCTAAACGACGATACTAATGTGAAAAAAGGCGAAACAGAAAATATTGCGAAATTGACAAAAGGCGATAAAGTTGTTCAGTTGTTTGACAAGAAACTTGTTATTGGGACTGTAAACGAGTTTTACGTTGACTCTGATAATGACACAATGGTCAAGATTAAATATGAGAATGGGGAGGTTGAGGACAAGATGACAGAGATGGCGAATGAATTGCGAACGAATTTTAACATAATTGAATTTTACAAAAAAGTGACTTATGAATATAATCATGGATGTTTATATGTCTTTTGGGATGAGACTGATGACGCATTGGATGACTTTATGGAGAGAGAGTATCGTCTTCGCAACAGTCTTGACAAAAGAAGTCTGATGTGGATTGAAAAGGCAAAGGAGGTGTTTAAATACAAACAAAACACCGAAATGTATTTGTTCACTAAAAGCAAGGGAGGTGGGCATTTTTTCGTGTGCGATTGGACTGACGAAAAACACGCGTGGAATTTTGGTGTAAAAATCGACACAGAAGGATATGCTGAAATGGGTTGTGCTGTTAATCCATATTTTTTAAGAATTCCAGCAGTGCGTCTTTCTGTAAACTGCTTGTATAACGATGTCATTGCTAATTGACCACCACCATCTCCTTTCAAAAGAGTGCCGAATGAATTGTTCAAATTGATAATGAAATTTCTGCCCGCAGACCGTGTGGCAAAGACAGAGGCAATAGTGCGCATTCAGCGTTTATGTAAGCAAGAGGAGGAGGAGGACTCACAGCCAATTTACGACAATAGTCAAGACAGTGACTTTGTGCCAAACTCGCAAGAAACGGTGGACAGCGACTGAAAATGTGTTTTTGTGTATTTGAGTATTTGACCCTGCGAATGACACCGACCAATTTGAGAAAAAAATTTAGTTAGTTGACGGCGGGGTAATGTTAGTTAGTAGTTCTCTCACTAAGGGGGCGGGAATCCTGTATTTCGTTTTTAGATTAATGCTGGTAGAATGCCCGAGGGAGGCTTTGTGGGGAGTTTGGCATTTACACGTTTTTCCGATATACGGAACGTTCGTCCAGATTCGGGTAGATTTGCGATAATCGAAACCGTATTGGCAGTAATCGACATCAACGTAGGGTCTATTAGATATAAACTCTTTCATTCGACCGTTTTTAGGATTCTCAATAAACCAGTATTTAGGCTTTAGGGTATTTATGATATTTTCGGTTTTTCGTAGAATTGGCAGACCGTTTGCCACCATATCCTCGTTGAGCATCTCGGCAGTCACTGGCACGTCTCCAAAGGCTTTTAACTTGCGTCCAATCCAAGAACGGCGGAGATGAGAGAATTTCTCACAAGGGGGCGAACTCCAAATAGCGTCGTAGTATCCCGCGGGAATGTGGGAATAGTCCCAATTCATAATATCGCAGTTGATGTCAGCGTTTCGCAGGTCCAAAGAGGTCACCTCCCAGCCCATTTTTTTTGCCACTTTCCCAACGCTGTGAGTGCCTGAAAATAGTTCGAGGAGTCGCATATAGTAGGTGGCGGAAATAAATGGTGTCTTATGACCTGAATATATGTTCGGGTTCGTTTGAAAGCAATTCGATTGATTCGTCAATCTGCTTGGTGACGTTGTTTAGGTCGGAGCACCATCTTGGTTCTCGTTTCTTCCTCTTGGGATTCACCTGGCTGAAGAGCGGTGCGTCGTCCTCCGCTTCTACTTTGGGGACTCGTCACGCAGCGCGATTAGGTTCTTGCTATTTAAATAATTATATAGTACTAGTAATAATAGCAGCAAGTATGCCTAATAAACTTGCCCTACCGCTCACGAAAAACGTTGAATTGACCGAAGAACATGGCATTGCAAACCAGATGCTACTTAGCCTAGTGTACTCGCCGCCGGCAACCAGTATTAATTGGCGGCTGCGCATTCATATCAAATGGCGTCAATACCTGCCCTCCTTTGGTTCCCATGGACGACGTACTGCTATGTCTTTCTCGCCCTGTGATTCACTTTGCCCTTTGCCCTGGCACTGCTAGTTAGAGAAGCCAATCCGAGGGCTGGGCCGCTGCTTCGCTGAGAAAGGATATCCCCTTCACTCTTGCATTTGAAGTAAGACAAATTATCGCCACAGCCACTATTATGACACAACTCGCCCGATATGTCGAAGGAAGTTATTCCCAGAGTCACCTGAAATTGTTCGGGGCTTATGTCCGCAATGTTGAGATAAGAAGAGATGGGCCCATTTCACTATGTAATATACGAGGAGAGTTTACACGTAGCGGCTTCATCAATTTCGCTGAGCGTGTGTGGCTGTACGGCCCATCTAAAGGGCTCTGGCAGATCTAACACTTGAACATTCAATCAACACACAAAAATGCAGTCGTCCTTTTGCTTACCAATATCATTCAGAACATGAGATAATATGGTTGCCCAATTCAGTGGATTAAAACTGCCTCCCAAGGCATAGCGTGAGGTGCAGTTGTGGTATACGAGTGCCATTTTCTACAACCAGCAAGCCTGCAGTGATTTTCAATAAGTTCCATTGGCCATAGCTGCCATGTTCTTTTCGAATATCTACCACAGGTTTAAGACTTCCATCTTGAGATCGGTCTGTGGATGCGTCTAAAGGTAATAGGATGAAGGCAGCCACCAACCTAGCACCGAGAGATCTGCATCTTGCCCGAGCCCGCTCATGAGTTACGCTGCTGGATTCTCAATAATGTGTATTCCTCCGTAGCAGCATGGTAGCTGCTTTGTTAAGACCTCAAGTGATCTCAAGAGCATCGCCTGCTTGTAATTAAGACCAGTGATGGGATGCTTCTGCATTTGGAAGCTGATGCCAAAATACTCACGTGGTGTGAAGTTCGTATTGTTGTATAATTACTCTTCAGAAGCTGCAGGAACAAAATCAGCCTCGTGCATCCACTAAAGGAGTTTTGCATTCAGAAGTCCAAAGGTGAGATGTGCCGGATTGGGTGTGGGCTCCAGTAACGCTTCGCCCCAGAGACGTAAAAATTGACCAATACTCGGTGCATAAAAAACCACATGGTTCAGCTCTAGCTGCATGATCCAGCCGCAAATATGGTCAAATCGCACGGATACACCAAAAACCGGCAAAGATAGAACCATGTTGGCGAGGAGTAGAATGTAATCCAACCACGCGAGCGCCCAAATTTCACATTGAAATCTCAGACCAGAACGTCTCATTCCTAATCAAAGGCGCTCACGGATTGAAGCCTGGGATGAAGGCCTCGCTGGTGCGGATTAAACTCAAAAGACGACACTACTCTTACGTCAAATTCTGAGCAACAGAAACCCAGATTTCAAGAAGAACCTAGCTGCAATGATAGGAAACTTTTGTGCAACTCTCTCGAGGCTAGCAACAAGGGCCGGTAGGGTTTCATTCACAATGATGGGCGGAACTGGAGGGGATATTGTGCTCATGATCATATTTGGGATGCTAAGTGGATAGAAGCTAGTACGTGGGAAGTAAACAGGCACGGTCGAAATCCGATTTGAACTGTACTGAAGTGTGTAGACCAAGTACTTGTGTACATATGTGACGTGATGAAAGAAAAAAAACAATACACGCTCGAGCCTTGTAATGCGCCACACTCCAATCTGAAGTAAAGAAGCAGCATCAAGAGCATTTTTTAAAACGGTGTACCTGAGGATTTGGCCTCCTCGGTGGCAATTCTCATGTGTCACAATTTCAGATGAGAATACCGTTTTCTTCATCGCCGCCTAACACCAGCCAGCAAGTTGCATGATAGTTGGATGTGCCTTGAGATGTTCGGGTGTAAACGATGCATCAAATTCGTGGCGTACAAGAGAGATAAGCTGAAAGACCCCAACCGAAGTCAGACCATGCATAAAAAAGTTAGATTCATCAGAAGGCAATTGCATGCCAACTTTGCAACACAAGCTCCTTATCTTGACCAAATCTGACTCTGGAGGGTGAGAGGCACTATGCATGCGTCTGTTCAGATCGGAATCGACAGATACTTCCAGGGGTGCTAAATTGCCTTGACAATTCATGTGCGTTTTTCTGTGAAATTCGAGGCGGCCACCAGAATATACTCACAATGAAGTGAATTGTGTTGCATTTTTCCATTGATACCAGTCACATATTGAAGAGTCTCCGAGGAAAATGACACAACCCTTAGATGCAAGATCAACGGAAAGCAATGCCTGAGGCCAGTCGCATACACCACTATAGACATTTTCTACAACCGCAGATTTCAATCGGCTACTCACGTCTTGACCTGTCTCGGGAGCTATGATACAACATCTGGAATTTTTACCTTGGAAGAGGGAGTTTTGCAATCATTAATTTTCAGGATTTCTTTCAGCTTCAGAAAGAAACGGAGATAGAAGTTCGCGGTGATGGACTGGATGTCACATTGGCAAATAAAAGCATAGCAAGCCCGCAGACTGACCGATTAGACTAAATCAATTCAAATCCGATTTATTGCCAGTTAAAACGAGAGAAGTTGGTGAGTTGATTACAGCCACATGCACTGCCGCAGACTGCTCTTAAATGAGAGTTTTGATATCGGTGACGCGCGTGGCGGGAAAAGAAAGATTCCATCGGGCTGGAGTCGTTTCTTAGATGCACTCGGGGAATGCTCGTGCAAGAGCAACTGAACTACTCAATGAGATAGCGAGCCCAAGTGCGCTTTTTTCCATTAATTCATCGATACTGTCGATGCCAGTTGCGACCACGGCAGCACTCAAGAATCCGGCGCTATGACCCGTCAAAGCACCGGGAACTTGGCCATAATCGAAACTGGTATTTGAATACACATACTACAATCTCAAGATGCTGAGGATGAAACTGACTGGACCTTGAACTGTAGGTAAGCCAGTGTCCCACTGTGCAGGGTCGTCATGACACGAAGGGACGGTCCAATAGTCACTTGTATGACTATTCTCCAATAAAAGCTACTTGAACTACCTGAAGAGATCCCGAGCGAAAGAACACGTCTGCACACACGACAACAATGACCTCAAAGCATCACCTGGATCACCACCCAAACCTTCAAAGATGATTGTAGGTGGCATCTCGACAAAGTCATCGAAATCATGCTGCGAGGATTCCTCGAGAGCAGACACCAATTGCCGCCCTGTACTTAGTCCCTGCAGAAGACTGACATCTACATCCAAAATTTCGCATATATGAGCGGTGGTATCTTACCTCAAGCCATTTGATTTTGACCTGAGAGTATCTTCCAGTAGCTCCACAAGACTATTACGGACCTCTTCCATATCGGTGCTAGAGGCCTATGCAACATGAGCAGCAAGAGCACTGATATGAGGTGTATCATACAACTATGTTGCTTGTAGTCTCACGTTGAATCAATCATTTATCGCTGCCACCATTCCTCCAACCATATTTGATTTGAGCCCCATAGAAGTAAATGAATGCATGTCATCTAGTGGGTGTTCTTCAAGTTGCGAGAACTGGGAATCGAGTTCTGCTTCCTCTCCGAACACATCTCGAAGTGCCTTAAGAATGCTGGAATGAAGATCCTGAGTCCGCGGTGGTGATGGAGCAACATGTTGCTGAGAGCTTTGAGGAACGCCGCAGTCCTGTTTTGGGAGGGTATAGTGCCTTGGTAATGTTATTATTTGAGCTCGATAGCACGAGGCAGACTTGCCTTCCTTTCAGGACGATACCAGACCTGCCGAAGAAGCGAAAGCCCCATGCGCTATGGTCCCACTGAAGCCGAACGAGCTCAGCCGACCCAGTGGTGATTCTCGACTGAGGCCTTCAGCCAAAACCTCGGTGGGCATGTTAAATGATGTCGACACGATCGAATATAGGTGCGTGTTCAGCCTACAACTCAAGTTCGATGTTTTGCTCAAGGGGTACCAGACAGTCTGAGCTGCGCGTTCGTGGCAATCACCTACATATTGAGGGGCACGAGCAAGAGAGAGATCAATCCCGCGGCAGCCGCCGATGGCTCCAGGTGACCCATGTTCGACTTCAAAGATGCGCATTGTACCGACTGCAAGTTCACGCACAAAGCTCCCGTAGCCGCCCCGACCTAAGACGAAGGATCCAAGCACGCATTTCACATCTGTTGAAGAGACTACTTCGATCGGGTCTCCCAGCGCTGTTCCTGTGCCGTGCGCCTCGAGTGCCCGCTGTGTTGTGTCGCAGTCACACACAGTTTCAATAAGTCACCTTTGCGATGATCCGTTGGGTGCGGTCAAGCTCGCGCTCGGACCATCTTGTTGCACAGCAGAGCCTAGAACACGACTCACGCAGCCAGCCTGGTTCAAGATGAATCCACCAGCCCCATCAGCTCGGGTGAATCCGTCAGCACGTCTGCCAAAGGTATGACATCAACCAAAGGGCGATGTCATGCCCGCAGCCGCCGTACCGACACTTCCCGTGACTTCGAGAATTCCCAGCCCGCACACAGACGCCCGAGAACACTCGTCGAGCTTCATGGCCTAGGCTGCGCAGTGAAGCGCCGCTAGAGTCGAGGAGCAGGCCGTATCGACGGGAAAATTTGGACCTGTGAGGCCCAGCATGAATGAGAGGCGACCAGAAAGAATCGATATCGCATATCCACTGGCTGCGTATACGCTCAGTTGGGCCATCTTTGGAGAGGCGACACCAGGCGCAAAATAGCTACTGCCCGATACGCCAACATAAACACCAGCGTGAGCATTCACCAACTTTGCTCACCTCGTTCAGGAGTCGGCTGACGTTGCGTGGGAGAAAGCGCCATACCCTATCTCGAGGAGCAAGAGTTGTTAGGGGTCAACTGCGTGGACTTCTAACATGGACATGCCCCAGGTGCGGGCTTCCAGACCAAGCGAACCGCAAAAGAGGTTCCCATAATTAGCGGAATCGTATGTTGTTCAGGCCCATCTACTCAACGGGACTGATCCACCCAAGTTTGAGCCACGACAGATGGCATAAGCAAAAGATTCATGTTTGAGAAGGCCACCTGGGAAGTTTAAGACTGCGGGCGCGAGTGACTACAATAATGGCTCGGGTATTGTCTTTTAAAGTGGCTTCGTGGCCAAGCCTATCTCCGGCGTTGGTCCTTTTAAACTGCTTAGTTCTCAGACAGCTGCAATGACGCACTCTCAGTCGTTGTTAGAATTTGAAGTAGCATGCAACTGGTTCCAGCGCCTGCTTTCAACATAGTGAGGGACAATTGCTGGGTACTCTATCACCAGAGAGTATAGGACAGATGTGTAAGCAAGCACCTTCCAGTGTCGCAAGTCCGCTCCCATTCACGCGCCAAAAAAGTCTACTTGCGATGCGAGGAACGGCTCGCTGATAAACGACAAGCCAAGGGAATCTTCCTCGCATCCATTCGTAAACCTGTAATCTTCTGATGTCTCGGGTGAATCGCCTATCGTCCTCGGGGTGCGTGTTTGACCGTCTGTAGCCCACTCTGTCGCTAGCACTAGGGCAGCATCAAGATAGTTGGAGCTCTTCACGACTTCAGTGGTGTATCAGTCGATGAGGCCAATGCGCTGCGCTTCCACAGCCTGCGGTATCCACCCATGCAACATCCGAGAGGCATGAGCTTGACCCGAGAGCCGCGCGAGATGCACCGTGGAATTCCCTTCAGCAACTACGCCCCACCTTTTGAATGGAAACGAGAGCTCAGCCTCTTCAATTGCGATGGCGTGATCGCAGTGGCTGGTGCTCGTAGCTGCCCCACCGTAGGCGCTTCCATTTAGCGCTGCGACGACCGGCTTTGAGAAGTTAATGAATGCGTTGAAGTAGTGGGCGAGGTAGTCTCGTGTCGAAGCATGTCTTCATTTCACTGGATCAAACTCTCGGTTATTCCGGTGCTCTGCGACTTGGTAGACGCGGCCTCGGCCAGTGACGACGCATGCGTGGTTTTTTGGCTCCTCTGCCACAGCATTCATCAATTCTGCCAAGGCCATTTCCATGCCAAAAGCACCGTTAAAGACTCGGGGCCTATTCAGCGTGAGGACCACAGTGAGCCCATTGGAGCTTGTCTCTCGCAGGACAAGTGGTGAGCTGTCAACTCCTGAGACTGGTCATCGAGCGCGCATCGGCTGAGTGATTTAAAATCCACTCGAACGCGCATCATTTGCTGCATCTATGAGCACCATCGACGCAACGTGTGATGAAATGGACGCAACACTCGGGTGATCGAAGAGCAAAGTTGCAGAAAACTCCAACTAAAACTCACCACTGAGTTGCTGCACGAGCTCCGAGGCTGCAAGCGAATCGATACCTGCGTCCATGAGAGGCATGTCTTAGGTCAACTCATTACCAACACTCTGCTTGACGATGGACGTTATGACAGTGGAGACCTCATGTTGTGATGCATCAGGGGTGGAAGTTTGTGGCGCGATAGCTTGCTAAATTTCCCTTGCACATGATTCTACCTCTAGGTTTCGTGGTGCTTGGAACGACGCTAGGAAAGACGAGATCGAACCAATGCTTGGGTGATCAAACAACAGCGTTGTAGGCAGATCTACATTAAACTCGCTGCTTAGCTGTTCGACCAGTTCTGATGCAGCAAGTGAATCGAAACCCGCATCCATGAGCGGAACGTTGCTGGAAACAGTAGTTCCCTAGGACAACGCAACAACCGAGGTGACGAAGCTTCCGACCAAGGGCGCAGAAATTAGTACTCCTCTGGATTCTACCATCAAACGACCGAAACCCTTCGTCGGTAAGGTGCTTGCCCTGGAGAAAGTGGTCTCATCTTTTACTGGGATCGACTCATTTTATATTTCGCTAGTGCAAGCATGGGGGCGGCATGTCTGTCGCTGCAGTTCCTCAGTAGCGCTTCCACTTGCCTCAACGTTGAGCAAACTCTCCTGGATAAAGGAACACGCTCTGTAGCATTGATCCACACCCGCTGCGATATTGTCAGGAAGAACGCCAGCAGAGGCAGATCAAGAGGCATGCGTCCTTGCAAGGTGAATACTCAGCGATAGACCGTTCACGACACCAGATGCCATGGCGTTGTGTGCGCTCAAGGACAAGTCTTCTACGTACATTCACGTCGAGAGACTGTACCCAACGATTTCTGGCAATACAGTTGTTGCCATCACTACTGGACTGAGGCCGTATGGCGCCACACCCAACCGGAAAATTGCGGAGCGGGTGGCGACACGATAATCGGTAGCTAGCGCTAACAGTAACCCGCCGCCGATTGACGATCCCTGGAGCACGGAGATTGAGAAGATTGATGCGCTTCATAGTCGATATAGGAGGTACCCGCTGCCGTATACGCCCTGCGCTTTGATCCACCAGGGCGGAAGCGACGATGCATTTTTGTTGTACCGACCTCCAGTGCAGAAATGAGGGCCAGAGGCCTGCAGTACGAGAGCTCGGATCGATGTGAAGGCGAACGCGGCTGTCAGATATCGCCCAAGATTTTCCAACAAGCTCGGAGTCATGGCGTTGAACGTCGAAGGGTCGTCGAGCTCAAGCAACGCTGTGGTCATGTTATTCCACATGAGGGTGACGGTTTCAGGGTCACTTCGTGGAGCTGGTGAGAGAGCCGCGAACATAGAAATCGTCGGACTCCTCAAAATCCAATTCACGTTTGCAGTTGGCAATAGGAGGGCATCACGATTTATGAGCTGTGCTCTATGCTTATTCTCCCGATAGATCGTATCAACGACTTTCGTTCGAGACATTTCCAGGCTGTCGGCTCGTGCGAAGATATCGATACACGTGTATGCAACTTGGACGTCGCACACCACCGCGCTCGAAATGTCTCGCAGAGACAACGCTGCGGCAAAGGTCAAGGGTCCTCGCGTGACGGTCATTCGGTGGACAAGCTTTTCATTGCCAAGTATGATAGTATCAGGGGCGTAATCGTTCTTGTCAAAAAATACACACACATTGATGGCGAGCCTGTTTTCACAGGCAACGCCCAGAATCGCAATCAGGGAACTCACCTCCGCGGACTCGAATCACGTCAAGCCCACATGAACTACATCGTGGCCAGCGACGACAGCAACGTGGACGCTTGAGTGTTATCTCTGACTAGGGGCAGTCATAGACACTTGGATCTGAACGGTGGCCTCCGTAGCACGGGTTTCTTGCCAAGACTTGGAACACGAGAGAGCAGTTCAGAGAGCCAACTTGTCTCTTTCGATGCCTCGGTGCAAGTTCTGGCCCTGATTCACGACGAGGTCGTAATCTCGCACACATTGTGCATTTAGGCACGCATGGGACGCTGCACCGGTCACTAGAATTGCCGGGGCTATAATGGGCAGTTGTAAAAAACCTCCTGAGCTGTTCGTGCGAACCAAGTCGACAACCACACCAGCAGAATATCGCAGCATCTTCGCCTAAATCTGACTATACCGGAAGGATGGCTGAATTATAACCACATAGTCCGAACACCAGCAGCAAAAAGATTCTTTGATTCTTGGAATGGGCGTCTAAAGAGATACAAGTGCCTCTGTCGATTTCTTACACCACAATCGCAGATGCCGCCTGGTAGCGTCACCGACACTTCGATGCATGATGAGACGTGAGCTTGAGATGATATCCTCTTCCTGTCTAACATCCCCGTGTTCACCAATTTCACCCACCAGCAACGCATGGTTTTTGCGCATCGAGGCTAGCGTGTTTTGAATCCCGACGACCTTGATGCGCTATAGGGTCAGTGTACATCATCGCAGTTGTGCGAAAGCATCACTTCGGTCATGGGCAACGACACTCTCACTCCGTGCGTGTGTCATTGAGCAGTCTCCTCGCTGTGTTCCTCTTGTACTGACACACCAATCTGCGACTCCAGAAAAATCCACGCATCCTTTGCCATAGATCGCAAGAATCGGGGTCGCAGTGCGCTCTCAACCAGAAGCAACATTGCACCCAATTGACTGCATCGTCAAACTCTGGGCGCCATCGCCGTTCGTGGAGAGAACGAGAGCGTAGCACGCAATGGAGTGTGGAATATGCGCCAAGAGAATAGTGGTTGTCCGAGGGCGCCGACACCGAACATGCAAAACTTGCCCGTCTTGCCAACACGCATGCGTAGTGTTTGAGTGAGTATCCGTCCTATGCGAAAAAGCGATTGTGATAGATCCGATGCTGGCATCCTGAATTGTTAGATTAGGCACGCTTTCGTGATTGTTGTCCTGCTAAGATCTTTTCTTCCACGTCAAGGGCTCTCATCTATGCACATTAGACCTGATGCGCGCGCTCCAGCAGAGTGATTTCAATGCATTAACCAACCGAGTGTCCATGTTGGGAAGCTTGTGCCCCCCCTGGAACACACAGATCCCAGAGCTGGACCCAACGAGCCCCGCCGTCCGCCCAACCATGTGCTGAATATCTCTGGTGTCGCCATCACCGACCAAGTGGAGTGACGCCACGTTGCGCGCTCCATCCTAGTACAGGTGACGGTACATCTGACTATGAGCTGGCGACGTCAGGGCGCAGACAGTGATCAGCAATCAACGGTAGAAACCAAGCCCGAAGTCAGTGGCGCTTTAAGCGACGAGAATCGACGCTGCAGTTCCACCTTCGCTGATGCCAGCAGCGCCATGAATCGGTGCCTGTTCCCTCATGGTTCAGCTGGTGTGCTTCATCGATGCTTTCCAGTCTCCTAGAAGGCCATACGTGTCATCGTTTTGATCTGTCGCTTTGCGGATTCAAGTAAACATTTCAGCTTGGCTTGCGCTCGTCAAGGAATACTGCGTAATCAGGCGCCACGACCGCGACTTCCGCGGTTCGTACCCAAACCGGTCACGTAGGAACACCCCACCGGCTCTGGATGAAAAGTCGGCACCCTGGTTTGGGGCGCTCACACTTACCCACTCGATTGTTTAGCTTCAAATCCATCTCTGGTAATTCATCGAACCTATTTGAAATTCTGCATATGTATCCATGCCGTGGAGGAACAGAAGCCGGGGTGACGAGCTCCAAGTCATTACGCTCTGGCGGCTGGAATGGGGATATCACCCACCACGAACTTGGAGCCCTCCTGGACATCAACGAAGCGCTGAGGCGAGACGGTAGCTGATGGTGACAAGAAGTAGTTGACCATTCACATAAAACTGTGGTATGGATGTGGTCGCCTCTCACGCCTGACACAACTACAATCTTGCAAGTTGGGCACATGGTATTGTATCCCGGCTGCCTTCCAACGCAGTGCGATAAATGCCGGCAAATGCTCGAGTTTTTATTGACATGGAGCGATCCAACAGTGGTCGAATACAACGGGAAAACGGTCATGCCCGGGCGCTGCGGACTGCGAGACTTGGCGTGGCGTGACTTCGAGACGGTTAAGTTGCTCCAGCTTGCCAATCTTGACTTCGGCTCGTTTTGGAACAGAAGGCATGAGGAGCTCGAGGCAGCCCGAGCGATAGCGTATTGTTTTGATCAGACACGACGCCTTGATGCATATTGAGGGGCATGCGTGTGACTTGCACCGGGCGATACCCGATTCGAGAGATGATCGGTCGCCGAGCGCGATAGAGGGAAGGAGACTTGGCTTCTGTGTTGAGGGATGTGCCTGAACACACGGAGGCCATGAAGGCTCCGTGGGCGATGGTCCCGCTGAACCCAAACGAGCTTAGCCGACCCACGGGTGATTATCGAGTTTGGGTTTTAGCCAACACCTCAGTAGGCAACTCGAATGACGTCGACACGATCGAAGATAGGTGCGTGTTTAGCCTACAACAATCCAGATGTGGGGGGTCGTGCTTCAAAGGCGTCGGACAGCCTGAGCTGCGCACTCATAGCAACCACACGCATACTAAGGGGCACGAGCACGAGAGAGGCCAGGCCGGCGGCAGCCGCAGATGGCTCCAAGTGCCCCACAGTTGACTTTAAAGATGCGCATTATATCATCTACGAATTCACGCACAAGACCCCATTAGCGCCCCCAACCTATGAGAAGTGATTTATTTCTGCAGAGCATTTCTTCCGTAGGACAAGGAACTTCAATCGGATCCCCAAGCGCCGTGCCCGTGCCGTGCAACTCGAGTGCCCGGTGTGTTGTATCGCAGTCTCGCACACTTTCAATCAGTCACCTTTACGATGACCCGTTGGGCGCGGTCAAGCTCGCGCTTGGGCCGTCTTGCTGCACGGCCGTCCCAAGGACAGCAACTTCAGCGGAGGCTCTAGAGGACAGCAAAAAAGCTCCGCAACCCTCGCCACGGCAGTACCCGTCT